TGTTCCACATAAACCTTTCACAATTAAGCTCAAGATCCTGTTGAGACTTTTCAAAATAAACTGAATCACGTGAAAGAGCAGATTATTTACGGATGATAAGTAAAAAAAGAGCCGCCAGGTGCTAAAAAATAAACCTTAGACTCAAACGTTAGAACAGGCTTTTCCCCGCAGCACGCCGTGTAATAAATGCTCACAAAGAAAACGGGGGCTGTTACAACTTATGTCTAAAAATGTATCGTTTCATGCATCGGTTAAAACACTCGACTCCAGCTACATGACGCGCAGCTGGAAACACTTCCCGCAAGTTGAGCTGCCCGAGATTCATAGAATTTTCCGAAAATGTTACATTTTTGTGATTTGTATCGTTATCGGATGATAGAATTCTTCTATCGGGATATGAGATTTTGGTCATATGCACAGCCCTACTTGAACTTGTTAGGGAGTGTTTTTGTCAAGACTTTTGGGGGGGGGTTTCGCTTCCAGTAGTTCCATAGCTGACAGGCTTGGAGATTTTTTAGCCTGATTTCTATTTTTTAAGTTTAAAAAAAGCAAATGTTGTGTAAGTGGAACATTTAAACTCATATTTTTTTTTTTTGAAAAAGTGCAGTTAAACACACTGAAATCGTTTTACCAGGCTTTATATTAAATAAAAAAAAGGCATTCATGCTCAAACTGCAAAGATTACTCTGCTGTTAATTGATTTATTGAGCTTCATAATGCATTGGTCCAGTGCTATATGTCTGATAACTTTGATACTGAAAACCAGCCACAGACTTTTACTTGCATTTTGCAGTGAAGTATTACAAATTCATCCTGTCAGTTTGCATAAATACAAATTACTCTTAAAAAAACAGCAGTGGTAACTGCAGAAGAAGAAGCCAACTAGTTAAGATGAATACATCTTTTCCCTAGGAGACTGTAATGTTTCAAACATGTCAAACAAACTCAACCATTGGCTCAGTTTAAAAGAATAAAATAGGTTTGATGGCTAAACTGTAACTATTGTGATTTTACAGCTATCTGTCTTGGCCAGGACACTCTTGTAAAAGATAGTTTTAATCTCAAGAGTCACATTTTCCTGGGTAAGCAAAGGTTAAAAACAGTGTAGATAACACTTTTTTTTTTTTATTTGAAAAGCTAGCAGTAAGTTAGACAGACACACCTTGACATGTCCCTCATTTTGTCTTGACATTTAGCTTACTTTGCAGAATCATCTGAGCATTTTCTTTATGCCCACAGAAAGGGTGACCAGGGTGACCAGCTGTAACACAGTGAATTGCAACGCTTGTGTAAAAAGCCAAACCACAACGACACTTCAGACATAGTCACTGCCCTGTGTCATTTCTTTCACATGCTCAAAAACCCCTACATTGCATGCATTGTAGCACATCATTTGCAGAGTTTTCAAAGAATGGTCATCAAACTTAGTTGTAATCATAATTAAATTTTAAGCTATATTACCAATGTTAAGAAATGCTACCATGGAAACCTGTACTCCTTTCTTACCTATGAGAATAATAACCTTTCTTTTACTTTATGCATTTGGTGGATTGTTTAAGTTTTGTGGCAATGATCTGTCCCCCTTTGAATTTTGCGCTTTGCATACATAGATATGTAAATGAATTTGATATGCATTATATTTCAGTTGGTTCAACTAAAACATTTCTCTCAGTTTTAACAGATTTTTCTTATTAGATATATGAATGAGTGTGTGTGTGTGTATAGATAGATAGATAGATAGATAGATAGATAGATAGATATGTTTTAATATATACATTTTAATCTGCAGATGTGATGCTGACCCCTCTGCATTAGCCAACTATGTAGTTGCTCTTGTGAAGAAGGACAAACCAGAGAAGGAACTGAAAGCACTTTGTGCTGATCAGCTTGATGTCTTCCTACAAAAAGGTATACATTTTATCTATATAAAGTTTTTCTGCTAAAGTGTCAGCAGGCAATTTTGACATTTTGTAGCTCTTCCTGGTTAAGGTGGAGGAAAAACTTTTGCTCCATCATTAAGCTAACAAGGGATTTATTCGTACTCCCCTTGCACATGTCAGACAATAGAGGCTTTGCAGTTAGGTCACAAATCCTTTGGGAATCAGACCTGGTGGCATTGTCGAGGTCAGTGACTAAACTGATTATTAAAAATTAGTTGCTAAGTTTAGCTTTTTTCCTGCATACAAAAAATGCAGTACCCCTGCAGAGGGGATTTAGTTTTCTTTTTTCCCCTCATATGCCACCAAGACTGTACTATATAGTTTAAGTAGCTCAAACATGGAATACATGTGGTTATCATAAATAATATTGAAATTATGCAACTTGTTTGATATAGTAAAACAGGCTCTTTGTCTTAACAATGTTAAAAAACTTGATTGAGGCTAGAAAATGACCAATATGGAAATAGCTGATCAGAAGCATTTGATCCAATTGATGTGT